TTATATATATATATAATATATATATATATATATATATATATATATATATATATATATATATATATATATATATAAAATTGATTTTATGATTTTTAACACAGATAAGAGTTTGGAGAGTTTGATTGTAAGTCTTTTATTATCGAATAGATTATAATGCACAGAGATAAGTTGGTTTTTCTAAATAAAATCAATAATAAATTAAATGATAAAATTTTATTTATTTATATCATAGTTTATTGGTAATACATACAATTTAAAAAACAACCAATTTAGGTCATTTACTACTAAATTTATTTTCATATGTACATATTTTTCATATTTTAGAAGATTTTAGGAATCTACTGTACATACAATGTAAATGTTATTATCCAATTGGGAAGACTTGGATAGGTCCAATCGCTATGGTTACTGTTTCTCATCCAAATGATATACAGGTAAAGAGTATAGAATCATTTATCAATTATTTATTTATTTTATTGATTTATTATATGACGTTTTAACAGTAAATTTCACAAATATCTGAGAGTACATAATATCAGTTATTAAATTATTGGTAAAAATCAGTTTTCTAAATTGTTTAAGCGATTATTTAGGTATAATATTACAAGCCATCTGCGATAAATTTTTGTATTATATTTCATTTCCTCTATGTTATTATTTATTGAAAATATAATTTATTAAAAATATCATTTTATTTATTTTGATTTACCATTTTAGGAAATATTAAGCAATACAAAACACCTTGCAAAAAGTCATATATCTAATTTTCTAAATCCTTGGTTGGGAACTGGACTATTAACTAGTGAAGGTATTGTAAAAAATGTTTTAATTGTCAAATTATTTTATTTAAACAAAGAGTTTAAATAAAACTTATACGACATATACAAGAAATTTATATAGATATTTAATAATATTATAGATATATAATAATATTTATGTGATATAATTAATAAATAATATAATAAAAATGTTATAAATAATTTATTCAATATTATTATTATTTATATTTGAGCATAATTTATATACAAGATCATAAAATGAACTTGACTAAAATAAATCGACGAAAATGATCGATATTTTGGTATCGATGTTTGAACCGATGTTCAAACAAGGCTGAGCCGATTGAGTTCTAACTAAGCTCGATTAATAGCTCAGGCACAAATTACATCATATATGTGTTGTTAATTCTTTTCTTTTACATTCTACCTTCTTATTTCTATGTTCTAAGTTTATGAAATAAATATTAAAAGTTAGCAAATATATTATCTAATCTCTGTTACAGGAACAAAATGGCATAACAGGCGAAGGATACTAACACCTACATTTCATTTTAATATATTAAATCAATTCGTTGAGGTGTTGATTGAGGAAGGAAATAATGTAACACAATCTTTGAAAAATATTAAAGAATCAACTGTCGATGACTTAGCATCCTTTATCAGTCATCATACACTGAATGCAATATGCGGTAAATCAAAGTATATATCTATATATATCTATAAAACAGGAAAGTTTAGTTTAGCACAGACATATTTAAATAAATTTTTATTAATTACATCTAATCCTCTAATAATTTAGAAATTTTATATTACCTCGAAAAAAGCTGAAAAATACAGCTTTCAATCAAAAAGTTATTTTTCACTTTATAATGATCATTATATTAAGATTAATATAATAAAAATAAATACTTTTGTAATGTTATATATTCAGAGATTACTATGGGTATTTCCTTGCGAGAAATAGGTGAGTTCGAAGAACAATATCGACAAGCAATCCACGAAATAGAAGAAATTTCATTTTATAGGTAATTCACATAAATAGCAATTTTAATTAGATATTTTATATTATACAATTACATCTATTTTTAATTATTTATTAGAAAGAGAAAATAAAGTTATTATAATATAATTGTTAATATATATAAAAATTACATATATGCTATATAAAAGAATATGTCTATTAAAAAAAATTATATATTAAAATTTATATAATTTATATAATAACTTAGACTACTAAGACCATGGTTATATTTCAATGTGATATTTGCATTAACACCAATGGGTAGAAGACAAGCGAAATGTCTAAAAATATTGCACGGATTTACTGAAAAAGTAAGTAAAAATCATATAAATGATAAGAATTTCTCTTTAAATAGAATTGGAATAAAAATTTAATATAATCTTCTGAATATATAATTTAATATTGTCAATATGTCTTATATTCTATAGCATTATGATAAAATATTAAGATAATATATACTTTCTTTATAAAATATAAAATATATACTTTCTTTATAGATTATTGCAGAGAGGAAACAATATCATAAAAGCACTAATGAACAATATTTAAAAAACTTTGCAAATGAGATACATAAAATTGAAACAAATGATAAAACAGACATAGGAGGTATGTGTATAAAGAATATGCAATATTCTATTGTATTAAATTAATACTAATAAATTATTCTATCCATTAAGTGAAGAGAAAACGGCTCACTATGATGGATCTTCTGATATCGAAAATTCGCGACAATAAGATGAATGACGCAGACATTAGAGAAGAAATTAATACATTCATATACAAAGTAAGAGTTGTTTTTTTATTATAAAAATCAGGAAAAGAAAAGTTAGGGAAGAAAAGTTACATAATTGTTCATTTTATTAATAAAAAAGCATAAAATTGTAAATAATTATATCAAATGGAAAGAAATAAAAGAAATATTTTATAATTTGTTAGTTGTTTTAGTAATGAATTATACACAGTTTGCATGTAATAAAGAAATAAATTAAAAAAAAACATTTTCCATTATTATACAGGGGCATGATACTGTAACAATGGGTCTGACTTACGCAATATTATTATTAGCTGAGCACAAAGATATCCAGGTATTTGATATAATAATTTTTTAATCAGTAAATATATTATTAATTAATATGTTAAAAGAGTTAGTGTTAATGTTTTACTCTTAACAATATTTAATTAAATAATAAAAAATATGGATTTGAAAACACATTTGCAGAAATATCTTTTGTTTTTATTTATAGCCTAAGATATTATTTTATACAAATATAATCCAATAGTTTATATTAATTAATACTCAAAGAAAAATCCATCAAAAGAAAAAAACCAGGTAAACAAAATGTAAAGTTTTGTTTTAGGAAAATGTCAGAAAAGAAATTAATGCCATCATGCAAGCAAATGAAGGAAAACTTACAATGTCAGCCTTAAATAATATGTTATATTTGGAAAGATGTTTGAAGGAATCATTGAGATTATATCCTAGCATGGCTTTCATAATGCGAACATTATCAGAAGATATAAAGCTACGTGAGTTAATTAACAAAATATTTTACTAAATAAGACATTAAACAATCATAAAACAATATTTTATAGTATAGTCCATGTATCTCTTTTTCACAAATTTTGTTACTGTTAAACTCTTTCATTTTGTGTGTGTGTGTGTGTGTGTGTGTGTGTGTGTGTGTGTGTGTGTGTGTCTGTGTTAATTATATATCAAAATGAAATATGTTATTTCAGAATCATATTTAGTACCTTCTGGAACGTTAATGCTTATTGGTATCCATGATGTTCATAGAAATCCCAATTTCTGGCCAAAGCCGGAGATATTCGATCCAGATAGATTTTTGCCTGAGAAAATTCAAAATCATCATCCTTATTCCTACATACCGTTTAGTGCAGGACCACGGAATTGTATAGGTAATATATAAGATATTATTTGCTTTATTATGTAAAAAAATACTAACATATTTTTTAATAATAGGACAACAGTTCGCTATGTTGGAAATGAAAGCAATAATAGCACCGTTGGTATACAATTTTTATTTGGAACCTGTAGATTATTTAAAGGATCTTCGTTTCGTAGCGGATTTTCTAAATCGCGTTGCACATCCTGTCCGAGTACGATGTGTTCCAATCAATCGTACGCCATCGACTTTATTTAATGCCACATAATTTTTTAATAAAGGAAGAAATTAAAATTTGATTTAAGTTTCTTGATATAAAAGTCACCAGGATTATTATATTTTTCTTAATAATATATGTTTGTTATTTGGTAAAAGGTGTAAGTCATATCTTAATTCTTAATGATACTTGAACATATATTTAATAATTTTAAATGTACATTTCATTTCATAAATAAATTTTATGTATATGAAAATACATCTATTCTTCAAAATTCTTATTATAATTTTATTCATTTAAATGTACCTTACATCTTACAAAAGTAATATTTTTAATATAATATATCATCTCTCTGTATCAGATATGGAATAGATAGGCTCTATATAAGTTAATTTAGTTAATATAATTTAAGTTAATTTAATTAACATATTAGTATATATTTTGTTTTTAACATATATAAAATTTCAGAACGATTATGTATTTTTTATATATCTCTTATTGTATGTTTTGTGATGTATTCTAGAAACAATAAAAGATAAAAATTAAAAAATTATAAACACTTTATTATGACGACATATTACGAACAACACATTTGTCAATATCTGACGTGAGGATCAGCAATAAAACTTTATCATCGAGATAAGATTGCTTTCAAAAACTGAAAAAGAATATGATATCCTTTCTCACAATAGTCTTTAACAAGTATTTATCGCAAAATAAAATGTAGTAATCGATTATATTTAATGCAATGCTAGAAATCTAAGACATTTTTAAAATAATTTTCTTCAAATTATTTTAATAATATGTTTCTATGAGTTGAAATAAGGAAAATGTCACATAAACAGATCTTAAAATGCTTTATTAAAAAGTGGTTTATTTGAGTGGTTTATCGAGTGGTTTATTGTTTGATTTATGAACAATCTAGAAATTCAAATTTTTCAAATTTTTTTTCAACGTTTTTATTGCGGATTTTTATAATGTCATGACCTGTATGTTTCTTGCTTAACAATTCAATTTGCACTTTCTCTGACGCACATTTAGAATGATATTTATGACTAATGGTTATGTTGTTACGTGATTAATTAACGATATGATTGACTACGGGAGGATGCTGTATCGTGTTTTCAGGGGATGTTTAAAAGAAAGATTAATAATTAGTATTAAAATTTGCCGTATTATACTGAAAATGACCCGAAATGGAGCTGAAACGTATACACCAATTTTTTAAATAAACTTAGTTGTCACTTGTATAAAGAAAATTATTACGCAAAAAGTACCGCGCCTATATTCTTATTAGTCCTTTTTTCTTAATTTTTTTTAATTAAAAAATTATAATAAAAATATCTGCAAGAAACAATTTTTCATCTAAGTTTGCGTTTCAAAAACGCTGTCCGCTCATCAATACAAGCTTAGCATCGATAAAATATTGAATTTATCATTGCGATTGCGTCGATAACATTTCATATATATATTGATTTATCTCTTGACGTGATCTCTTGTGTTTGATTGAAATTGTTCTTCAATGTTCTTCACATATAAAAGTTTAACGTAAAATCTGTTGATCTTGAAGACTAAAATATCAGTACTCCAATCAATTTACCTTTCGAGTTAATGTTTATTTAATTTTTATCACACTTGTTTTTCCTTAATGCGCTGTACATTCATTTAATTATCGATTGTATAATCATATGAAAATCTGCATACTATTCGAGAAACAGCTAGAAAATGAGGAAAGGAAATGAATTGACTATATCTGATGTTTCTTGTTTCATATTAAAATCATATCTAAAATTCTTGACTTAATCATTACATAATCCAAAAGTGGCCAACCTTAATAGTTTGATCGTATCATTATGAACGTTCGAAACTTCGTACTTTAGTATGTTATTCTGCTACAGAATTTTAAAAAAGGAAAAAGAAACTGTAATCATACTTATGCTTTTTTTCTCTTGCATAAAGGACTTTATTATTCACTTTTAATAAACTTAAAAGTATTGATAAATTATCGATATTTTTTTCTGTCAAGATTTCCTATCGAAGTTTGGACTGCACTTTATAGTTTTGTTAATTATGCATAACGAGCCTGAGTTTTTATCGAGAGTCTTGATTAAGTATGAATAGTGAATGTATCGGTC